GTGCCCGGGCTGGGGCTCGGCGGTGGCTGCTGCACCCCGGCTCCCTGGCACGACGGCAGCAAAATGCTCGGATCTCCCTGCAGGTTCAAAAGTTAACGTGCAAATTGATCTCCTCGAGCCGCCGGAGGTTTGAATAACATCCTTTTAGGTTGGAGAACAGGGAGCAGCAGGTAAATAGGGCGACTGTGCGAAGAGGAGCCAACAGCCCGATGGGTTCACTTCTCCCTGGCTCTTTCGCTTCTCCAAAAACATTCAGCTGTCTTATCTGTTTGGATCATGGAATCCTCAGAGCGGGGATGGTCGCTCTGCACACACAATTAATGCAGATAAAGACATGCTTTCCTGCCAAAACTGATGGGGAGATGGCCAGGGTACGTGCTTCCTCTGCGAGGAATTCTGCGACCGTTCTGAGTGATTTTTGGAGCAATCACCTGCGTCTGCTGTAAAGCCTTGTGGTGTTTTGGCTCTTGTGGTTGTTACGAATGTGCCATGGGCGTCCGAGGGAATGGGGTTGCGGGATGTCCCGGCACAGCTGAGCGCTGGGAGAAGGGCTCAGCCTCGCTGGGGCGGGCAGGTACTTGAGCATCCCCCTCCATGTGCTCCAACAGTCACAACTGCTTCATTTCTCTTCTGTTCCAAGGTGGCCGAGAGAATAAAATGCCCATCTTGATCTCCAAGATATTTAAGGGGCTGGCGGCAGATCAGACCGAGGCGCTGTACGTGGGGGATGCCATCCTCTCCGTCAACGGGACCGACCTGTCCGAGGCGACGCATGACGAGGCGGTGCAGGCGTTGAAGAAGACGGGCAAGGAGGTGGTCTTGGAAGGTAGGAGATGAAGGTGTGAGGGGGAACAAGGGTCCTCCTGCTTCTAGGGGGCTGATCCCTGTTTTTCCTGGTGATGTGCTGGGAGAATGGGGTGACACATCATCTGCATACACATTTGCATACTCTTTCAAATGGAAAACAATATATGCAGACTGGTTTGTCAGCTCATCCGGAGAGCTGGAGGTAACTGCTGGGATCTCCCTCCGGAGAGGAAGAAACGTGTGCCAGCGCTCCGTGCCCGGCGGCGGCTCTGTCTCCCCGCTGCGGGACTGCGGGCAGGCGGCGATGGGAGGTGTGGGGCGGGTTTATGGGGTTTGCGACTCTTCTATCTGATGGTGTCACCCTGATCTCTGTGGCTCCTTAGGCCATGGAAATCTTCCTACTTTTCCTGGGATTTTCGTTTAAACCCACATCCTCAGCTGGAGCGGGGCTGTGCAGCTCCAGAGGCTTATACCAGCCGGGAGGGGGTACACCGGCACCCTGCTCCTTGCTGGGCACCCTTTGGTTTGCTGGGGTGGGTTTTGGGCAGGCAGGAGGAGTGGGCTGCCTGGTGCAGGCAGGGCCAGCTCAGGAGCTGCCTCCCTGGGGGGGTGTCTGGCAGCTGAACCCCCACTGTGGCCCAACTGATCTGCCAGCTGAGGGTACAAACATCCCAGGGACTGCAGCCCTCACTGTCCCAGGGGAGACTGAAGCCGGTCCCCTGGGAATGGGCTCCCACTTGGTACCAGGTGACTGGTCCCTGATGTCTCCCATCCCTGTGGGGGCTGTCGGGCCACGGGAGCGCCCCCGAACCCTGTACTTGGGCCGTGGCTGAGTGCTGGTGTGTTGGGAGCGCAGGAGGAGAGACCCCGCTTTTCTCCCGTTACACTTCACATCACGTCTGTTCGCCTTTGCCCACCCTCTGCCAACTTGACCGGGCAGGGGTGAGCACCCAGGGTCTGTCCCCCAGGATGGGACTCTTCCTCTCTCGTGGCCACTGACCATCTCCTTGGGCCAGCAGAGCCCCTTCCCGGTGTGGTTGCAGTGCTACGGATCCCGAAAGGAGGTTTGATCTGGGAGCAGCGCTCTGGGCTCTGCCGGGACAAAGAAGAGCTCTGTGTCTTCTGGTGCCGGCCGCTGCCGTGGCTTTTGCTTTCCTGCGCCTTCCCCAGATTGTCTCAGTTCCAGATTTTCATTTTTAGCTTCGCTCAGCCCTTTCTGCTGTGGGTTCCTCCTCTCCTGGGAGCCGCAGGACCACGGTTCAGCCAGAGGAATGTGCTGCTCTGCACAGCTGCTGGGAGCAGATAGGGTTGTTGGTGGGGTTGGTTTGTTGTTTTGTTTTTTTTTTTTTGACCAAAGGAAAATACAAGAGCCTTTTTCTCTGGGAGTCTGCAAAATTCCTCCCTGTAGCTGCTGTTCTCGGACCACCCTCTCTCTGTTATTTTCTTTTCATCCTTTACTTTGGCGTGGGTTTCCTTTCTGCTAGAGGTCCTGCGGGAGGTGGAGATGAGCTGCCCTTTCTGCAGAGAACAACTTCTCTGGTCTTCCTTCTCCTCCTCCTCCATCCCCCTGCGGAGCCGGGTGCTGCCAGGTTGCCCTTCCAGGAGGCAGCTGCAGGCAGGGCCTTTGCTGTAGCTCACTGAGCTCAGGTATGACCTGCTGGACTTCTTAATTAATTAATTAAAACTCCCAGCAGGTACCCTTGGGAGGAGAGCGGGGCTGGGCTGGCTCCCCCCACGATGCGCTGGAGGCTTTGTGATTAGTTTGTAGGTGATGCCATCAAGTCCCGCAGCATGAGGTTGCTCAGGGATGTTGCCGGCGACAGCCGGAGCGGGGC